TGTATTAGATCTGTAGGCAGCATTTATGCTTAGGTACTCGTATACCTGTATAATTTGCATGCTTACTTAGATCACTGTGCTTTGCGATAGATGTGACTCTGTTTCTGTTTTGTACATAATACGTCTTTTCTTAGCTTGTGTTGCTGGTGTTGTTCTTTTGGGAGCGGGTTAAAGGTATATATTTTCATAAATGTTTATTTCAATCAAATTGTTTCATTGGCATTTTTAATGCTACAAGTAATAAGTGATTATATGACAAGTATATTGTTTTGGGTGTCTTATTGGGACTTTCATAGCCGAGCGACCTATTTGTGCGAGTGACTTGGTTTATAACTCTAAATAGATCGAGTGTAGGCATATTTACAGATGCTTGATGTTTTTGCCTGGCATTCGTCATCTTGACATCACGGAAATCGGATTAACTATTATCTGTAGCAACCAAGACTACATGCTGTTTACCGTAAAATGGGCTCTCCAGCTCGTTATAGGGTCTATTCCTCTAGAAAATCAATGCGGCAAAATAGGATCTTTATGAAGTTTATATATCCTTGAGTGGTGAAATATATATTTTTCAACCGCGAGATATTACATGGTGGCGCGAAAATATAAAGTTTATATATCTTTGAGTGGTGAAATATATATTTTTCAACATGAGAAGATGAGAAGATAAACTTCATATCTTCAAGCCAATGTGTAATTTTCTTTTTATCAACAAACAAAAATTGTTTCAACGAGCGTCAATAGTGAGTGAGCGGGAAGACTGTGACATTATTCACGTCTGAGCCAGTATGGAAAATATGCCACTGAGGTCCCGATTTCGTATCAAATATACGAGTGGCGTATTTTCCCGTAAAACAGTAGTGTCTATATAGTAAACTTTATTCTTTTTTTAATTTGGTGGCAGGCACATAATTATAAGTGATTGTTTGATCAATGATGGACTCCAGCCAAAGAAAAATATATCGAGCCATTCATACGATCGATAAAGTTCATTTTCACGCATTCAGCTCTCATACTCAGTGATGCTATTTGATTTCGAATTGGTCACTGACTCTGCGCACTTTGATTCCTTAGTTTGGAACTTCCTGTCTTAATTTCAGTCATTTGTGGCTTTCGCTTTGAGCTGCGCAAGGCTAGGCTAGCTTTCTAGCCAAAGCAGATCCCTGAGCATTTTTTCTCTAACGTATATAATACAAGATAATAAATCAGGATTTAGAACGAAAGGGACTCGAACACAAGTTGATTTTAAGACCACAAATAGCCAAAAAAAGTAATTATGAAATATTAAAGAATCAATATTGGATGTCGACTAGTACGTTTAGCTTCAGGTAGCCCGAGTAAACCCTGAACTTGGCTTCTCGAGCATTTCAGATTCTGTTCAAGTTGCATGCGTGGGAGCGCTTCGGTTCCTTAGTTTAACGCATGGGGAAAATATAAATGAAGTTAAAAATCAAATGGGAAGCAACTGAAAGCATCCAGGCAGCCCAAATGAATTTTGAAGGCAATTGTTCAAGCTTCCCGATCAGATCGATTACGTTTTTTTTGCCGGTTATTAATTCTGGTAAGCTGAATGTCTATTAATTGAAAGGAAGAATTGAAGTTATTCATTAAAATCCTTTCTTTTGGATATTTTTTATGTCACCTTCCACACCCCCTCCCCTACTCCCCTCAGTATCCACTCCTTCTCAGTGATTGTCTCTAGTTATTGCTTTAAAGTTGTTGTCTTAGCTCAAATTATTTGTCCAAATATTTTCTCCCTTTACCATGAGGTTCTAAGATTTGATACTTTTCAACTCCCATATGACCGCAATTTTGACTTCCCAAAGATGACTAAAATCGAGAGGGGAGGGGAGGGGGGACTATATATAGAAAAAATAGCATCCTATCTACAGTTTTATCTATAAAACTAATAAAATAAGAAAATTACGCATGAAAATACTGAAAAAACCTAATAACATTATGGATTTTAATCTTATAATAATAAATAATAATAAAAGACATATTTTTATAGAAAAGCCTTTATTTAGTTGTTTTTGCAATTCCCATTGATTAATTTAGCTTTTATTTTTCTAGTTATTGTGTATTGTTTCTGTATTCAGCGCAGATRAACATCTTGTGCTAATCTGYGCTTTATAAATGTAATTTATTATTATTATTATCATTATTATTATTATCTTATATTTCCCGACAAATTTCTACAATGTAAACTGACCTATTTATATATATATATAATAATAAAATGCTAGTTGTCTTTCAGTTCCTGTCCACTCGTGCTGAATTATTGAAACCAACCATAAAGCAAAATGAATGCGCTGACGGGAAAAAATGAGACTGACAAAGAACGCCTTTTATTAAAGGTGATTAGTATATTTTGGGCCCTTTCACTCGTATTCAATCGTCATTTCTAATGTACAGCTTGTCTTCTTGTGATATAAATGGCAGATGCTGTTTGGCCTGAATTAATTAAGAGAAAGAGAAAAACTACACTGCTGGAAACAAGAAAAAAAACGTAAAACACGAAAACAAATAGCTGAACTGCGCTGAAACGCCGAGGAATTTTACAGTGGGTGAGCAACCGATGGTCCCAAAAGTAGCAAATTACCAAATTCCAATAAAATTATCCTTAGGTAAACTAAAATAATTGCAAAAAAAAGTCTGAACTACTTTTAATAGCAAGAGGGCCAAATTCTGACCTTAAAAGTGACACAAGGTAGCTAGATTGTGTGACGTTAATAAGTGATCAATGTGTGACATATCTTTCCGGGTATGACGTCACCGTGAATCGACTCATTCTCTCCAAACATGAGCAAAGAACGTTGGTCTTCAACTTAAAAGAAATGGAGTATTTTGCTCTAAATTAAGGTAAATATTCATCGTTCCTACATTAGTAATGTTTGTTTTACCTAGCTGTTTCGAAAGCATTGTGGTAATGCAAACTTGTGTTCTCAGTAAGTCGGAGTTTATAGTTTGGTTTCGAGTGAGGAAGTTGGGTCGTTCTGCTTTAGCAGCCCGATCTTATTCTGCTGAAAAAACGAAAATTAACCGTCTTTATAGGATCTAAACTGCTGTCATTTCCAATTGCAGCTGCTTTTTGAGGTTTTCTTGTCCTAAATGCTGTAAAATAATACGGATTATCGTGGAGAAACGATCTTAATCGATCATGGCCGTGTGTTTGATAGTCGACTTCACCTCGAACGAGAGATCAAGTGACATCAAAATATGTTTTGTCATGAATTAAATGATTTTGTTTAAAACAATCTTGTTACACGGCTAGCAGAAACGAAATAACATTCTCTCTGTAAAATTCTCTTTAACTTAAAAAACCACACTTTATTTGGCTTGATAGTTTACACTGAGAAATATTATTAACGCTTTTGTTATAGCGATCAGCATGAGCTATCAATCTAAATTGGACATAAATTATACTGCGTTTCCATTGTAAAAAAAATGATTTCAACATCTAAAATTTGAGGAAAAAATACAGATTTTTACTTATCTATTTTCTTATCCTGGGTAATCTATGATTTAAATTAAAATCCAAAAATAAGCAGGAAGTTTACGGCCATTGAGGGAATAATTAATGATGCTTAAAATGTACGAAGTTCCTGAATTCCAACATGGAATAAAACACAAGTTTGCCTTTGTTTCTTTATGTTTGGTTTACTAGTCTAAAAGCTTCTGAAAAATGGCTTTATTTGACTGTGATTGCGTGACCACTTGATATGATTATTTTATATATGGACGGTGATGGTAAATTACTAAGAGATGGACATCCCATTGCATTTCAAAAGTATACGTGATAAACTAAGTTTTTATTATGCTGTAATATGTTTCTGCCAAATTTCAAGTTCTTTTAGGATTTGTTCCTGTTTTTACAGTGTGTAGAATTTCCAAACTTTTGAGCCGTTCGTCTATCACCGAGAAGAGTCGAAGAACGCCCAAAATATCGGCTGCTGCTTCGGTACAGGGTGGTAGTAGGCACCTTGCCTTTCCCAAATGAATTTTTTCAATTTTATGTAAAGGAGTCCTTTATTTTATGCATAATTGTTGAAGAGTAAAGTCAAGATGTTTGAAATTCCATATTTTCCATCCCGGGGTAACAATAATGACCATCATGACTAAGTGGCTCTCCTACTGGCTTATTTTATGGAGTTTCTGTTCTTTTACATGTAACGTGATGAATTTTATGCCGGCAAAGTTAAAACGCATGCGCGTCTTCTCGCCCAATCCCGACCTCCCCCCAAAAATACTTGTTACATTAAAGGCACCTTTCCAACGTCAGATCATTTTAAAACATTTTGCATGCTAAAAGTATATCATACTAGAAGTAAAAAAAAAAAAAGAAAACAAAAATGGGGGTCATCGACTTCGCGGTTTAGCCGTTGGAATGCGTGGAAGATCATCCTTTTTGATCTCATTATTATTTTAATTATACAGCTTCTCATTAATCCCATATAGGTAACTGTCCAATTATTTTCTTAATTGGACAGGTCTTGTTGATATGGGATTAATTAGGCAGCTATATGATTAATAGGTAATGGGATTTCATGCTCCCCAATCAAGAAATAATTAGACTCGAAAAATTCCTCTGACTGCCAAATTGGACTCGGCCTACGGCCTCATCCAATTTTGGAAGTCCTCGGAATTTTCCTCGTCCAATTATTTCTTAATTGGACAGTATGGAGTCCTATTACATATACTAATTGTATCATTACTCTATAATCCCATATAAGCAACTATTGTATTATTTTCAAATTCTCTTTTCTTTCAAATTCGCCCCTAAAGTTGGGTATTACAAAAAAAAAAAAAAAAAGTCCCCGACTTTGTTATAGAAATATAAGCTTTTAAAGTAGAGAGATTAAAAGCATTTTCAAAGTACTTTGCTCATCAAAATATTGAAATGGCGTCATCAAGATAAGCGCACGCTCGCACTCATTCACAAAAAAACTGCATGCAAACATTACTCATGAACGTCCTTGATACCGAACTAAAACAGATGAAAGATGATGCTGTGTTAGGTGTTGATTTTAAATTTATTTTAGTTTTTGTTTTTTCTTTCAGTCAGTCAATAAAAACTGGGTCGGAGATATCAACCGGTTGTCATTCAAAATGCATTTATCAATAAATGCGAGAATCTGCAAAATAATCTTTTTATTTTTATTGGTTGTTCATACTCTGCCAGTATATACAAGAGCGGAAAGCGGTGAGTATTTGATTCAAACGTTGGAKTAATATCTTTAAAACGAAAAATGTATCATCAGYWTTTCTATACGTTTACTTTGTCTTTTAGTACATTTAATCACTGTGCCAAAAAAGGTATCATCTTCTCAGTGGACATGGTCTTGGACAGCAACTGGGCCAACTGGAGGTGGTGTAGAACAGGTATGATATACGGCGTAAAAGATTTGAAACAAGTATGCACTATATGTATAAAATATTATATAATATATAAAAATGAAATGATTATTGTTTATCGAAACCTATTTTGAATCTGCCACTACACTATTATCAACGCAATTTTGTGATACTAATATCCGGAACTCTTATTTCTAATCTACAGTGGAAGAATGCTTGGCCCAATGATGATAGAACTAAACCTGTGAGATATTCTGTTTGTGATGCATTGTCTCATACTCCGAAAGCAAACCAATGGTTAACAAGTACTCACATCTTTATTAGTCCTGCTAATAGGATTGATATAACCATCGAGTATGCTATGAGTGACTGCTCTGTCATAAACAATCAATACTGTCGTCAAAACTTTAGCTTATATCTGCACAAGTCCCGTACGCAACTTAGCATAGGAAGTCTGCCTGACCCCTACAAGAACCTTGATATCTTTGAGAAAATAGGAACGTCAAGCCCTAAAGTACTGTCCACTGCTGGAAACCTCGACCAAGCACAACGGAATAAAGAAACATTCTCAGTGATGGTAGATGCTGCCAAACCTTATGTATATCTTGCTTTTCACTACCAAGGAGGTTGTGTGAAATTATTTTCTGTCACCGTGCAATATTATAAATGTCCTTCCATCAAACTTTCGTCGAATCTCGTAAAATTACCGCAGACCATAGCCCCTGCAGATAACTCAACAAAAGTAAAAGGGTCTTGCAGCAGTGCACAACACCTCAAACCGCTGACCAACGAGAGTGACTTGTATGGATATTGTCAAGAGGATGGAGAATGGAGCACTGATAGGTACCGCGGGGAGTGTGGATGTGATTATGGATATGGAAAGGTTGCTACAGTCAGTGCTGGATCAGAATGTAGAGGTAACTAATTTAGCTCTGGTGATCTGGTTTTCGTGAACCAACCATTAATTAGCCAGACACCCTATTCACATTTTGCGATCTGGGGGAGCCGGGCGAGCCTTAGAGACTTCACATTACCGTTGGAATTGAAAAACTGTGATAGATGTCAGAGTTGAAGGAATCGGGAGATGTTTGAAGAAGTAAGATTGGAACGAACATTTGCATGCGACAGCGTGATCTTTGGTTATCTTATACATATACTTTTGGCTAGGACCATTGACTTCACTGATTCCTTGCACAATTTATTGTCGCCGTACTTTCGTACAGCGAGGGCGGATCCGGGGGCTGAAGCCCCTCTGCTGAAGCCCCTCCTTCAGCAGATAAAAACGATGCTTTTTTATATTGTTTTCCGTTGTGTTGACGGAAGAAACTCAATAACCCCCCCCCCCTCCCTAAACTCAATTAGCCCCCCCCCCCCTAAAATTTTGGCTGGATCCGCCCTTGTACAGCTGTAATGAATAAAAGAACAGAGTATTAAATGATGCACAAATGCAATGTAAATTTGAACCAGCATTTGTAATATTTATTTCCAGAATGTCCTCTTGGTACATATAGCGACAAAGTCAGTAACAGCAAGTGTACCACGTGTCCACTCAACAGTGAACAGGACAGTAGCAGAACCAGTTGTGATTGTAAGCCAAACTTCTACAGGACAGACGAACAAACAGAATTTGACAGTTGTGCAGGTAACTACACTTAATAATTATCGATAAAATAAAATAAAAGCGCCCGACACCTTTATTCGTGTTTTCTGTTTTCAAAACCAACAAGCTAATATCGGTCTGAGTCATCAGTAACCTGATTGATAGCCAAAAAATCCGCCAAATTCCCGAAGCTGTGAAGTCTACATAAACATGAAAACATCTTCAAACTGGATCTGATTCAGTAAATTTGTCTTGGTTGGACGTAAGAAAATTGTCGAGATCACAGAAACACCAAACGTTCCCGAAAAGCATTACTTTGGTATCCTTCCAGCTGAGCGGTGAATTTCAGTTTGTTTCAGCCAATCACAGYGCGTTTAGCTGTTTTGCCGCCGGCCCTGATTCCCAGGCTACTGTACCCCAAGTTTTGCGCATATTTCTGTGTTCTTTTGACAAATAAAATAATATGCGTGCCCACAAAAGGCAGACATTTGGAAAGGAAAATAAAAACAATTCCACTTTACCGCCACGTTTAGTTCACGTAAGCTCCAAAAATGCCTTTCATTTTGTCCCTTTATGCTTTGCGCGCCGCGTTCACCGCTCAGCTGGTTACAGCAAGTTATGTTTATTAAGTTAACGGGTAGCTACCCCATAAACCACTTGCTTCTTTTTTAAAACCGTAACTTACTTTTCTTTCAACAGGACAACCTTCAGCACCGCAAAACTTAAGCATCACATTTCTTAATGCATCGTTTGTTACTGTGACATGGTTTCCACCTACTGACAATGGAGGAAGATCAGATTTGTATTACACAGCAGAATGCAAGCAATGTAACGACCAAGGAACAGAATGCACACAAGAGTGTACTGGTTCTAATATTACTGTCAATCAAAACTCTAGACTAGCTAGCATCAACAGTCTGTCTGCCTACACATATTACCAGTTGAAAGTCTATGCCAAGAATGAAGTGAGCAAGTTAGCTGAAGAGAAAAATGATTTGGCAAAGTTTGCTGAAGACTTAATAAGAACGAAAGAATCAGGTATCCCTAAGAGTTCACTTATGGCAAATATTACAACGATTTTTTGCAGAAACATTTCTTGCTGCAATTTTCTTATTTTATTAGTCGATACGGCTTACTTAAAGGGGGTGAAGCATCGGAGGAAAAACGAAAGGGAGACCACATTTCCCCAAACCCCTCTTTTCTCCTCTTCTCCTCCCCAAGTACCACTGACAAAGAGTCAAGCTTCACGGGCTAATTAATACTTGCCTATAGTTCCAGGAATCCCAGTAGTCACTTTAAAACAACTGAGTTCCACATCAGTGTTTTTGAGTTGGGAGGTCGAAGAAAAGAACGGTGTTATCACGTACTATCAGGTGTCGTACTATCCTGTGGATCAGCCTTCAAACGTCAAGAAATTCAACACAACATCAACTAATACGACTATTACTGGCTTGGAGACAGGAAAGGAATATCAATTCCAGGTAAAAAAATATTCCTCCTTTTCCTTCTCCTCCTTCTCTTCCCTCTTGTCCTACTCCTCCATACTCCTCCTGCTCCTCCTTCTCATACTCCTTTTCCTTCTCCTACTCCTTTTCCTTCGCTTCCTTGTCTTCCTTCTTGTCCTACTCCTCCATACTTCTCCTGCTCCTTCTCATACCCCTTTTCCTTCTCCTCCTTGTCTTCCTTCTTGTCCTGCTCCTCCATGCTTTTCCAGCTCCTCCTTCTCCTTTTCCTCCTCCTCCCACTCCTTCTCCTCTTCCTCCTCCTCCCGCGATGCTCCATCATTTTGTTTGTTTTTTCCTCATCCTCATGTGTCTTCCTTTCCCTCTACTTACTCCTCCTTCCTATTCTCCCTCCCTCTCAGTCCCCACTTCCTACACCCCCTCATTCTCATTATTCCCTTCTTCCTTCTACTCACCGACCCTTTCACCTTTTTCCTCTTTCCCCTTTCCCTGTTTCCCTCTTTTTCCTTCTCCTAGTCGTTCTCTTTCACATCTAGCTCCCAATGGTTTTCTAGGTACAGGCAAGTTCAAGACTTGGTCTTGGAAAAGCAGCAGCACAAACCAAGAAAGTTGCCAAACTTACTGAAGGCAAACGTAATTATTTATTATTATTTGCCTCATGTAGCTGCCAAACTAGCAAGTCGCACAATCCATGCACTGACTGGACGGCTTTTGTCAACCAATACATACTTCCGAAGTTCATGAATTATTTTTAGAATTTTATTCTTTGGCATGCATGTTTTCCATCGATTGCAAACTTTCTGCATTACTTCGAATAGCCTATTATAAATTCTGGATACAATCATTTGAAGAAAAAAACGGGAAAGTGTCCAATTATTTCCTATTAGGTCGATACTGAGGAGTCGACAAAAAATCCAATCATCATCATTATTACCATCATTATCATCCTCCTCATCCTCCTCCTCCTTCTTTTCCTCCTCCTCCTCCTCCTCCTCATCATTGGATGGATGAGAGATGTCGGAGCTCAGGTGTTTGATCTTCTCTCCTCAATCTTATGCAGCAAAGATCGTTACCAAAGTCTTCCTTGGAAAAAAAAGTTACTGCCTTTGTTACTTTTACGTGCCATCACACACTGTATAATTAACAAATAGATCAGGCTTAGCTATGTTCTGTTCTCTGATAAAACACTCCTGAAGCTGTAGAACACTAAAAAAGTTATAGAAATCACTCGCCTACGGCTCGTGATTTCTATAACTTTTTTCGTGTCCTACAGCTGCAGTCGTAACTTTTTTAGTGTTCTACAGCTTCAGGAGTGTTTTATCAGAGAACAGAACATAGCTAAGCCTTGAACGCTTTATGTAATAGATTTTTACGAAAAAAATAGCGTAAAATTTCAAAAAAAAAAAGAAGATTTGTTTACAAAAAGAGCGCGCGTCTGTCGTCAAACTCACGTAAACAAATTTGATCTATGCGATGATTGGCTAAAAACGCGACCTATGGCTATCTGATTGGTCCAGTTTTGACAAGTAATGACAGATCTGTACAGGCTGGCATACAACTGGTTTATCGCATTTGTTCAACAAGAAAGGAGAATTGCTTGTAAATTTTAGCAAAAAAAGCCAAAGAAAACAACCATTCTACTTCGTCATTGGTCTAAGTCGCTACGAAGTCACGTGAGATAGCACGCGGCAAGCAAGCAGTCAGTTGCGCTTGGTGATCGAGCAGTCAGGTTTGCGAAAGCAAACCTATAGCGAATATTTATCATTATGGCACAAAATTCAACAGATGAAGAAATACTTGCACTACAAGACGAACTATCTGATGGAACAGAAGAAACACCAAAAGGAAGTACCCTTATGGCTTTATTAGCAAGAATGAACGACAAC